ATTAAAGAATAGTTTAAACTATCTAGATATATATATATTATTATTCTATTACTAATAAGTAATATCATTAATTGCACTTTTTTCAATTACCATTGTATGTCAATTTTAAAATATGTTTAAATGGTTGAAGCTTTAATATACCTAATTTTATATTTTCATTACGTAGATCACTAATTTTGTAAAAAGGAGAGTTAGTATTTATTAACAAAAAAATATACGCAATAAATATATCAAAGAAATTATCTATAATTTACGTAGTTCAAAGAATTTATTTGTTACTGGATACTAGTGACATTTTAATTGTCTTGAACTCGACGACGACATCTCGACTTTAGAATTTATTGTACTGAATGCAATACTATTCAAAGAATTTGTTGAACTTAGAAGAATAATTATATATTATTATAAATGAACTTTTTAAAATAGAAGAAAATTTATTGTAAAAAAATAAAATGTAAAAGTCATAATAAGTAAAATTTTTATTTTATGAAAAATAGAGCGTGCGAAGACAATAATTATTCCTTTATTAAAATATAAAATAGAAATAAAAAATTATTATAAAAGATAAGATTTGAAGAATTGAATTTATAGAAAAATATAATCTCAAATTATATTAATTTGGTACATATGTATATATACGTGTATATATATATATATATATATATATATATATATATGAATTTATAAATATTTAAAAAAAAAGAAAAAAAAGAAAAAAAAATGAATGAAACAGTGAATATCCATATTAGAAAAACTTTGTAAATATTAATTACCAGATCATTGGTCCCGCGTTTACCAAATGTCCCTCAAGTTCTAAATATATGATTAAGGGAAATGTCAAGGAGTCATAAAATTATGTTTATAGTCAAAATAAATATTGTCAATGCAGAATCTATTCTATGCAGAAGAATACTTAAATAAATAATATAGATAATATGATTCTATATCTCGACTGTTATAAACATTATTATTTAAATATGAAAACAGGATCCTTTAATAAAATGAATGCATTATTAAAAATAAGAAATTTATTTATTGCAATTTGATAGGATGAGACTGGTTTTATAATGAATACATAATATAAAGAATAAACAGTATTTTATTACACATTGATATCAAATAAATATATTCTTAAATGCTTCATATAAATAAAGTAGACATTAAAATATGACTCGATGCTTTTAACAAGCAAAACATAAACGTTTCGTTGTTTACTTAAATCCTATGTTCATTTTATTTGTAAAATAAGGAAATCGATATTTATTACCCTATTTTCTAATCATTCATAAATCGACAAATTAAAATTAAAATACATATTCTTTATACACATTTTCTATTATAATCACGGATTATGTTGCAAATAATTATTTTATATAAAACTATTACTATTAGGTCATTAAATATTTTCCTCTTTTAAAAATATATATTGGTGCTAAAGAATTAAATAATTAATTAACGAACTAATGAATTTTAAAATATGATTTTATTGATCTAGAAAAGAAAACATAAGGAAATACTTATTTTAAATTATATTCATAACAAAATATGTTATGAATTTTTAATTATAATTAGAAATGTTTTGGGGATAACATAAAATAATTCAAAGGTATGAAGTTATGTACTAGGATACAAAAATCAGTTGTGATTAATTTCAATTAAATCGAAATTTTTAATTTCTATAATATATTTTGTAATGAAATTTATAAAAATTTACATCACCAACGTTCATATATTTTGTTCACAGAAAATTTATTAATGAAAAGATAATTTATGTATTTGCAACATCGAAAAGTCAATATTTAAAAAATAGTGAACGGAAATACATAGCGAATGACCTTGTAACTATAAAAAAACATACTAGGATTTGGAAATTCTTATACATAAACAAAATTGGTATTGAACATTATTTCGTATGGCTTTTTAAATATTTCGACAAATCATCGTTAATAGAAGTAGTCAGTAACTGAAAATTATCATGTTATATTTTACAGTTACATGTACTGCTTTAATCCCATTTTTTGTAAGACAGATAATATAGGATATTTTCTATTTTATTTATTTTTTTTATCATCCTATTTCTTATGCATTCTGATTCCCACGACTTCTTTTCTCACTCACTCATTCGTTAAATCACTTTTTATTTTTAACTTTTATTATTCTTTAAAACATATTTATTGTTACGTTACTTTTCTTATGGAAATATTCATTTACATGCATATCAGAACAAAAATATTACAATAGGACAGACGAGAATGAAAGTATGCGTAAAGCAAGAATATGAGTATTGTATTAATACATAAATAAATGGACAAAGTCAGAATAAATATTTATACACACCGACGTACTGCAACTATTTGTTCATTAATAATAGAATAACTTAATTTACTTAAACACTATTTAAACTTATCTTTTTCCTGGTTATTGTAAAGATCCAATAACTATTTAGAGAACATAAAATACCAAAATATTAATATCAGTTGATTTCTGTATAATTAATTAATTTGTACAATATTTTTAAAAATCGTTAGAAATCAGTTTGAAATATGTAAGACAATTATGTAAGACATATATATTACAATTGATAAGTAATGTCTTACAATTAATAATTATATATTTGATTTCAAAATTTAGGACAAAAATTTCTAAGAATTAAAAAATGTTTTAGTTAACAATTTGAAATAATACTTTTAATTTATGTAAAGATATATTTGTTAATGACAAAAATGTAAATATCTAAAATTAAAATACATGATTATCTGATTTTTAAAATAGAATTAACCTCATGTTGACTATAATTAATAAACAAAAGTTTATTATAATTAATAACATAAATTTATATATACTCTTCGTTATTTTTTTTTATATATTCAATGAACTTTATGGAAAATATATTTTTAAATTGAAATAGCCATTGAGAAAATTTAATATATTATTTATTACATTAATAATATAATCATATTTACAATGTTCATAGCTGATCTTAACTTTTTATTTTGAGTAGTTCATATATACTCGTAATTTGTTACTGAAAAAACTAACTATAAACATTATTCGTAAAAATAGCTTATTACCAATGGTGTCTATCAATGTAGTTATTGACAGTTTCAGATAGCATTTAAATTTTTTAATTTCTAGAAAGAAAAATTAGCTGAATTATATAACTATAATTTTTTCTTTACTAATGTCATATTTTTATCAAATATCTCTATTAAATAAGTATATATATAGGTTCGTTAAGCCAAAATTGGCTTTCATACTACATATATTTTTTATATTTCATACATTTATATAAAAATGCAGAAGATAGAAAGAAATTGGAACGACGGGAAAACATCTAAAATAGGTCTAACATTAATTTCATTTCGACGAAAAATTTTCGTTATTTTCTATTCCGTTTTCTACCTCTACACCGAACGGAAAAAATATAAAATAAATTTGCCTTGTATTTACTGATCGATACTGCTGTGAATTTTTTTTTTAAATATCATTGCAATTCTCTAATTGCATTCAAAACTCTCTACTCACAAGCAAATTTGTATTCATATAATTTTTAATAATACTAGTGTGTATACTATATAGCTTAAAAATTAGTAATTAACATCATTTACAATCAAAATAAACCTAAACCAAAGGTATTTCATAAATTTTCAAACGACTACTTTTATTGATTAAAAAAAAAAAAAAAAAAAAAAAAAAAGAAAAAGATATGACTTTAAAATTTAATTATATATGTCTTGCATAGTTTAATTAACTAATGATTTATCTGGCTATACAGGGAGTAGAAAGTAAATGAAATATAAAATTAAATATAAATAATTAAATCATATCTAAATAAAAATATAAAATATAAAATATAGATATTAAGTACATTCAAATATTTCAAATTATTATATTTATCGTCATGATTTTTATTCTATTTTGTTTATTCCATTCATTATTTACTATAAGAATTCTTTTTCTCATGTATTAATTTATATACGCGCGCGCACGTGTGTGTCAGTTTTAATTGAAAATATATTATGTACATCAGCCTATTACGTAATTTCTTTTGCTATGTTATTTTCATTCGTAAATGTACTTTTATATATTTACTTTTTAAAAATCTATTAAAGATCAATAATTTATTTGCTGATACATACATATAAGATTTTGGTAATTGGTTGTATTAAAATGTACAACACTCTGCTTATAAGTGAACATTTGTATTAATTAACATAGGCTTATTACTCTTGATAAGCAATATAAACGTTGTGAAATATAAGAAAAATAGGTAGTTAAACAGACAGAGAGAACGTAACAAGTATAGGAAAAAGTTTATAACTTTATTCATTTTTCTGGCATTGTTAGTTATAAATATTTTAGTTTAAGCTTCGGAATAGGTGCTCAGCCCAACAAGAGTTATACTCTGCCGGTTTTCTGCTGCTGGTTGGATGACGACGACTCGTATAGTTCATTTCATTTTTGCTTTTTTAGAAAGTACTCTGCACGTTCTGAAACTGCCAAAACCATATGCTCCATTTCGTTTTATTCGTACATATCTTTCTGCATACACGAATGTTTCATATACAACGCGCTACGACCGTTTATAGTACCGAAAATATTTGTGATCTACGGGCTCTTATTTACATTTAACGTCGAAAAAATGATCAAAGTGAAAGTCGAAACAACACAAAATAACAAAGAAGGCCTTCATACATATGTAAAAGTGACGTATACGTAAGTTTATATACATATACGTATAATAAAATAGACGGTGAAAGAGTACGTGCGTAATCGTGCACGTGTGACGTCGTGGGTTGATGTGTGCGTGTATGAGTGCACGCGTGCACGCGTGCGTGCGTGTATGCGTGTGTTTGAGCATGTGGGTGGGATTGATAGATAGATAGGTAGGTAGATAGGTAGATAGTTAGGTAGGTAGATAGGTAGATAGGTGCAGACAGACAGACAGACAGACAGACAGACAGACAGACAGACAGACAGACAGACAGACAGACAGACAGACAGACAGACAGACAGAGGGTGAGGGGTGGTGGGGGTGAGAGCTAGGCTGAAGAATAGAAAAAACTTGGGTGGTTCGTTTGGCAGAGACTCCGGTAATTTTGTTTGGACGCGTCGAGTTCGGACAAGCGAGAGAGCACGTCTCTCTTATTCTCCACCCTTTGGTATTTTTCTAGCTGTTGAAGAGTTGTTGAAGCAGGTCACGTCTTACGAAAACCGCGAAGCCTGAACGCTATGGCTCGCCGTAGTCTCGCGGCTTCGCTCCTTTCGTCTCTTTCGTCTATCTCGTTTTCTTTATTCTTCTCTCCTGTCCGGTTTGATTTTCGACTGTCTTTTATTTATTGTTCGTACGGTATCAAACCGGTGCCATGAATCACTTTACTTTTATTATATTTCCCCTTGCCGTATCGTCCCGTTCATTGCAACGATGATTTATCATACATCCTTGTAGGACCGACAAGGAGGTGGTGGACCGCTCCAAGTACCATTTTCTCGGCAGGTAGGCTTCCGAACGGGTTCAAGGGGGGTTACGTAGCCAGGGGAGCAGGTCACCTGTATCGTATCGCCAGATTTATACCAAAACTTTAATGGAGCTATACGACCGTGGAGCGGATCGCCAGGATATGGACATCTTACTTCACCTGCGAACAAAGCAATCGACATCACTTTATGATTTACGTGTTATAGTAAATAAAGAATAGAAGGATAAATATAGATTAATGGATGCAGTGTGGACTTTAGATCGGTATATTAGATAGCGCAATGTAGTTTTTAACTTCTTGTTTTCTTTTTTTTTTTTTTTTCTATACGATTATAAAAGTCTGCATTTTCATTTCTACACGTATTTGTAGATATTTCGAATTAAGAAATTACATATTGATGAAATTAAGTTTGAAAATATTTTTTATTCGCTTGAAAATCAAGGATTAATTTGTATTTTACAGTTTTTATTAAGAGGACGATGTCGTTCCAATTAGAAAAAAACGCTAAATAAAATATTACTTGGAAAATGATTTCAATCAGTGTATTGTGTTTGAATATTTGTATAAATAAATTACTTGAAATTAAATGAAAATTAATAGGAATAGATTAATTAGTAGAATCGAAACTTTTTAATTAATTACTTACGAAATTTTATTCTCGTTATAAAGTATAAAAATCTAAAATATAAATATTAAAAATAAAAATAAAAATATAGAGTGTGAATACTTTGAGCGTATTTTTTTATTTAAAATTGGCATACCACTGTACAGCGATAAGGTAAAGTAATAAAATCAAGAAGTCAATAATATTGTAGAATTAATTGTATAATCTGCAAATTAAATTATTCGCTTAGGAATCATGATTAATTTATGATATCATTCTCATACTCGTGGTATCACTAAATTTATTAATCATTTTAATGAATAAAATTAATTTATATTTAATAAATAGTAGTAGTAGTAATATGGCAATACAATGTACTGACAAACGTTAATCGTGCAAAGGTAAGAGCATCTTGTTACCTCGTGACATGAGACTAATTTAAAATTAAACTGCGTCAAGTAAGTATTGAATTATAGCGATACTCAGTGTAAAATATTTACAGTATAAATATGTAAATTGATCTCTCGATCTATGTTTTATAATAGGAATATTGCGAGTGCATGTGTTGATTATTTAAAAAATATTATTCAACGAAAAACACGACTGACTTTTTTATTTTTTAAAAAAAAAGAGCATTCCAGGTGATATTAACGTATTATTTTCAGTAAAGAATTTAAATTGTAGTAATTTATGAAAATTTCAATATTTTTCTTAATATTTTATTCTTAAATTGCAAATGAAAATATTGATTTAAACTCCATATCTATCTTATAATGTTAAATATATATGATATTTATGGATGCTCTTTATGATGTATTTATATAAACAGAAACTGTAAATATTTTATACTTTTAATATAATATTATAAGAAATGTAATTGTAATGTAATGTAATGTATTATAAGAAGTAATTCAACCGTAAAATTCTAAAATTTCTATTAGCTCAATTGATATTGATATTAGATAAAATAAATCCAAATTAGACATATTATTTATATGTTCTATCCTTATGCCATACCGTACAAATTATAAAAGTTTATTAATATTTAAATTTTCGAAATGTAGTTTATTAGCTTACAAACTTTTTAATTATTAAGAAACATAAAGTACATATTTATATTTTAAAGTTGTTCCTTTCATCATTACAATTAATTTATTACAGGCAGAAATAATTTTGGCCCCTATTATTCGAAAACATATTACATCAACGGATTACTTAACTGCAGACATTATTTTGTTTATAATTAATTAATTATAAAAATAAGAGTTTTGTACATTCATTATTTTATTTATGTCGAGTGATAAATTGAAATTACGTTTACTCGAGTAAATAACTTTCGAAATGCCTGCCCGACAAAGCAATTATTGGGCAAGTCCAAAGGAAGTAAGAACGAGACATAGATAGATAGATGGATAGATAGATAGACAGAGAGAGAGAGAGAGAGAGAGAGAGAGAGAGAGAGAGAGAGAAAGAGAGAGAGATATATCGATTGAAATATAGTGAGAACAGGCTTGGGAGAGAAGGACGACTAAGAGAAGTGATATATGTGTGCGTTGATCGTATCCAAATTTTATAGTCTTAGTCAGTCTATCTGCACACTTGTATAAAACTATATGATAACATTGAACGGAAGGGTTTAGATGTGTTACAAGCACACGTGAATCATAGAAGGGATTCGAAAGTAGTGGACAGAGGGACGGAAAATGAATGAACTCGTAAAGGTAGAGTTGGATGTTGGAACGGATATTGCTTTCGTGGTTTCTTCCGCTTCAACAGTTACGACTCCATCGTGATTATCCATTTCGTGTAAAGAACAAGAACAAGACAAGAATGATGGTATTCCCTTGTCTTGTAAATTGATTTTATTCTGGTACAAAAATGTTGCGTTATACGAGTTTTAGGGGCGAAACAAAGTTTTTGAGATGGTATCTCGAAATATTCTTTTAATAGATTTAATCAATTTCATCATTTCCCTCCAGATATTATGGAACGAACGCCGCTCAGAATGAAGTTGCGAACGTGTTTGTACTTTTTGACGTTTCACCTATGAAACACGATGCGATGACATGATATAATTGGAGTAAAGTAACCAATCATCGCTGCAAGTCATATTAATAATAATCATTACTTTACTACTAATCGTATAATGAAAATCAAGTTCATTCAATACTTTATTTTTACTTTATAATATAAGCCAATAAGCCTAGTGAAAAAGTTAAAATCAACAAAACTGTAAATGGATACAGTCACACCGATATGGATGGTATTTCATACAGATAGACGAGAAAGAGTTAAATTACAAATGGCCGTACCAGTCAATCAAGAAATCCTTGAAAATTTAAAAATCTTAACCAGAAATGAAAGTACTGAATGATCCGCTCTCCCATTTCATTCTCATTTAACAAAACAATAATGATACTGAATACGCATAATAAAGAATGTCCATATAAGGGGAATTTCGCGGTAGAAATTAGAGTAGAAAGTTGAGAGCGGCGAGTTGTTATTCACTCCTCGGGGAATGAATCTTTAAAAAAAATTATCTATCCAACACATTAATCGAGTTAGCCCGAAGATAAAACTTACAAACAGGCGATTGATGCGACCACGTGCCATTCTCCGTGCAGATAATGGAAGCCTGGCCGATGAGCTGGTGACCTGGAAGGCAAGAGAAGCGCACGAGAGCTCCCACTCGGTGCGTCCGGTCCCGCCGCCTGCTCGGATACTCTTGGCGATGCTCGTGTTCGAGGATACGCCCGTTTGTCGGCATCGATGGCGTCGCGCAGGTAATCTCTAAAACAAGCCAATTTTTCATTATTCTTTTATATCTTAATATTCTCACTTATTGCCCTTATCGTCCTGAGACGACCTCCTCTACGTCCTACTTGCGAGGAAGTAAAATTAATATTAGCCTATTATTTTATAATTCAATCTCATCCGAGCCTAAATCACCTTAACTACTTTACAATTTGAATATCGTGAAGAAAATTGAAATAGCTTATGCTATAATTTGTTTATGCTAATATTTTCTTTATATTTTCTTTTTTGTGTTGTTTTTCATTACTCTTTATTTAGTCTAAGCTTTCTAAGAAGAAAATGTGAAATGCCATCTCACTCATTAAAATACATGTCGTCTTGATAAAGTCAAATGTTTATTCCAGTCTTATCGTCCTTTTAAAATGATAATTAAATTTCAATAATGGTGTTAGACAATCTTCCACTACTACAACTACTACTACTACTACTACTACTACTACTACTACTACTACTACTACTAATACTACTAATACTACTAATACCATTGTCACCACTACCATTTCTGCTACTGCTACTGTTACCGCCATTATTATTATGATTATTAGCATATGTAAAATAAAGGAAGTAAAATGCTACCAATTGGCAAGTCATCGTGCAACTTTATTATTATTATTGTTTTTTTTTTCTTCATATTTTCCTCAATTCATATATTTTCTTTGTTTTTTCATAATAGGCTGGTAAAAGTTGCTCGCTACATTTACATTCACATATATTAGTACACAATGTAGCATCGTCTTACTTTTGAAAATTTTCTTAGTTATGAGAAGAATGCAATTCGGGTGTCAACTTTCCCATGAAAAGCCGCGCATTTTCAAAGGAAGAAAGTGTAAAGAAAAGGGGTAGAATGAAGTATAAAAGAATTGGTAAAATAGGGTCAAAAGAAGGGAAAAAAGAGTAAAAAGAAAATTGAGAATAGAAGATGAATGTAAGGAGGAAGGTGAAAGGAGAAAAGAGTCTCGAAAACTTACAAAATACAGAAGCAAGTGGGAAATGTGAATGAGAGACAGAAAAGGTGGATGTAAAAGAGTAAATAAGACGGAGAGAGAGACAGAGAGAGAGAGAGAGAGAGAGAAAACTTAGAGGACGGCGTGGTAGGTTTGTGGGGAAACGGTAAATAAGAAGCGTAAGTGAAGAGGCGGCTGAAAGTTTTCGAGAAAAGCTTCCAGTTAAAGGATTGCTAGAGTTATATACGCACACAAACATACCGCATGATCCGCTGAAAGCATTCTTTTATTTCAAAGCATAAGATGGTATTGTGCGTTGCTAAAAATATTTCCATGTATAAAGTTATGCCTGCTTGAATTAAGAAATTGACTTTTTATTTTCTCGGGGAACCTATTTTTATGAGTGTATTCGGACTTTTTATATTCGGACGGTTTTTCTACATTGACAGCGCATTGTAATTTAATTATCTAACAAAATTATATTTAGTTAATATTATGAAAATATTGTTCTTCGCCATTTTTTCCCCATTTCACCTTGCCATTTTATATTTTATGTCTTCATGCCGGTAATTTACCTAATATTTTCCATTTTTATAATCCAAACGTCGGCTGTAAATTAACAATTACTTTTTGTATCGCAATGATAATTATTATCTGATTTTTTTAATCCACAAAATAAATGTATTTAATAATAATAAGCAAGAAATAAAAATTGTTTTTTTTGCATTATTTATTGATATATTACTTATCGTAAATCTTTTATTCCCAAAGCTTAACTTATATACTTTATTATCGATTTTTATTGATTTGTCGAAAAAATATTTTGATAGAGTTACTTAAAATAAAAATAAATCTAACTATAGGAGAAGAGTAAATTGGTTAGAGATATAGAGAATAGATTTTTTGAAGAACGAGATGCAACTGTTTCATTCATAATTATTGAAAAAGCTATCTCTATAACATGCTGTGATAATATTTGAAATTTTAAAAAACTGTAAAAAAATTTTGACTTTTCCTATAAATAGTCGTAATAAATTTAAATTAAAAAAAAAATCTGATTTTTATTGCTTTATATGCTGTCTTTGAAAATCCTTAAAATAAAATATGACATCATAGCGAAAAGTCCAACGTAAATCGAAAAATACCAATTTTTTCACTGAAACGAGACCTCCACATTCGCGTTGTTAAATGAAGTGAACATTAAGCGTATACATTTTGGAATTTATTGAATAAGGCGAAAAGAATGCGAATGTAAGTTTGTCGCAGCTTAGGTGTTTTCACTTCGTTGCATAATAGCTAGAGAAGATATAATGTTCTCAGCGCAATTAAATGCAAGGGAAGAAGCGAATGAAATTTCTGTCTTCGTTTTATTACTTTTACAGCGAGAGAACGAAGAAAACAAGGAATAAATTTATTTGACAAATGTAGAAATAAATCGAAAAGCTTTTTTATTTTTCCCCTATTAATTGCATTCTATTATTAGGATCATTACTTCTATTACTAACGCTAGTCGTAAAAATTAAAAACTTTTAATTAACAACCTGTCAATAAAATATATGCTAAGTAGTAGTCTTGTAATTTGCACGATGTTGTTCCGAAATACGAGATTTTCAATGTAATTTTCCTTTAAAAAAAAAAAAAAAAATACCTGTATTTACCAACTTCAATCGTTGGATTTACGAACACTAATGCGTGGAACTAATGATTTTAATGGTGATAAAGTAGACTTAATTTAATGAAAGTGTATAGAAAAATCGGTCAAGTACGAAATTAGATTTTTCACTAGAGCATGTAGAGGCGAACAGCCTTATCGACTTGTTTCTACTTTTTGAATATAAAAATGCTTTTTCACATTAATAAATCAACATATACAGAAGAATTCAAATTGACGCAGAGTTATGAATTTCAATATTTCTTTTTAGTTAGTATTGTTTGGTTTTTTTCCTTCTCACTTAATTTTCCTTATTTTAGCAATGTGATCTTCTTTTCTCCAGACACATTTTCTTTTCATATACTATGCCTTTATTAACAGGAAATTTCGTTTTCTCATACTTATCAAATTTCATAATGTACGACGTAATCCTGCATATACAACACACAAAATGAAACTCCAGTGTTATTGCAGATATTTAGATAAATATTTCCTCCATGATATTTCACTTTATTTTCATGTTATCGATAGTCCATGCAATAATCTTTTTTTTCCTCCCTCGAATATATCAATACTACGTAAATCATGTTTCTTTATAATTTTCATTTGATAATCGTTATTTTGTGCGCATAACTCAAACATTGTTGATTAGTTCTAGCATGGCTATAAGTTTCAAGGGGTGAAGCTATATTGAGCTGTACAAATGTTGAAATCTGCTTTTCCGCAATTTCTCGACCGTGGGTGAGAAAATTTTGTTTTCTTTCTCCCGTTTAAAGTTTTCAGGTCACCGAGAAGCACGACAATTTACTTATTCGACTAAGAAACTACAGCTCATCACATCTCAGTGACTTAATTTTATACATTTAAAATTTTCTTGCTGCTGCTCTACAGCGACATAAGTTACTTTCGACGTAGCAATTTAAAATCTTACAAGGGTGTGGATCAGTTGGCTGAAAATTTCAACTTAAATCTTATAGTTTAACTCCTGTAAGACTGATTAAGCTGTTTACGCCATTTTTCAAGCTTTATCCTGGATTTAGCTTATGGATGATACAAAAGAGCTATAAAGAGGTATGTTTTTGTTAATTTAAAAAAGTTTTTGTTACATTTAAGTATTATCGTCTAGAGGGAGGATTTCAAGGATCTTCCATCTTCAATAGGGACTATTGTATCTCGTGCCTATCCGTATCTCGTTCAAGATTTTTATTATTACCTATAATTACATTATAATTCAAACTGCTATAGGAATACTAAAATGGATTGAAAAACCTTATTGAAACTTATAAATTCATGATATTATTTTGAATCATAGGAATAAAGTCTTACAGCTTATCAGAATCCGCTGTTGTACATTATACGATTAATGGTCTGAAAGACTTTCTCATACTTGTGCATTTCGTACGGCAAATGTATTGCATATGTTTATGTACGCATGTCATAATATACGTTTCAGTTAGTTATCTTCCATTTGTGTGGTTAAGAATTTTGTTAACAATATCGAAACAACTACAAACGTAATATTTAACGATACATTATACTTATATGAGGTATTCATGTAGAATGCTTGTTTATACATAACCTTATTTAAAATACTTACTGGATTTTACTTATTTATTGTTGGAATATTAATAATAGTCTCATAGTCTTATTGAATATTATACAGCAGCGATATACAGTACAATTGATAGATATTGATTTACTAAAAAACGATTTTTTTAACATTTCAAAAGCTATCGAGAAACAATGGCGTTAAAATGAAATACAAAAGCAAAAAACATTTTCCTTTATATAATTTGAAAAAATTCTTTTGTCGAATTTTTATGTAAAAAGTGAATTTTCATTATACTATGAATTGAAACTTTTAGAATTTAAGGAGTTTCAAAATATTATTTATGCTACTAACTTTTATTGAATTATATATCATGAACCATACGAGCTAAATATTTTACTTTGAAAATTCTTTACATAGTAGTATAATCCGTAAAATATTGTCTAATAGCCAATAACAATAATATACAAATTATTTATTATTTCTGTAATGTGAATCAATGTTCCATAAGATAACATCCACGAAATCTGCCATCTCAATTACGATTCACATTATATCCAATGAACTTCATAAATGTTTGTAATAAATAAAAATAGAAAATTATTGTCAAATAATCCGTATATCCGAAGTCATCGATTTAATATTAAATAATTATTTACTACTGATAAGACGTAAGAGAAATATATTAAAATAGTAAATAATAAATAGTATATAAAGCATTTGATAAAAAAATAATTATATAAATACGATAGAAAAATTAAAATTTTATATAAATAAATAAATTGTATGAAATGGTTAGACAAGTATTACGATTTATCACTATATATTTTCAAATAAAATAATTAAAAAGATATAATTGAAGATTCTTTACGTGGAATGATTATGTGAATAAAAATTTTTAATTACAATATCATTTTTCTTTATTTTTTGTAAATTTTTATTCATTCAAATTTTGTGAATTATAAATTATATTTAATTAATAGTTGTTCATATAATGTAATAAAAAATTATGTGCAAAAAAGTCATATATATATATATATATTCCTACACCATATTATAAATTAATTTTAAAATAATATTATTACAAAAACATTGGCATTAATACCATTAAATTTTCATTCGCTTATCATTGTATATCAATAATTACTATTTACAGAATAAACAATAACATTGTATATGTATGAAGCATATTTGAATAAGTTTGATCGATAAACACGAGAAGTTATTCTTAGATTCTTTATTACTAATTTGCTTTTACCTCGCCCATGTTATGATAATGACAGTTTGCGTTATATATATATATATATATATTGCGAATAATTTATAATATTGTTATACAGTATTCCATACGATGGTTTTAGAGGTAAATATTCTTTTTCAGATGATAAAAGATTTTAAAACTTAATAGCTTACATAAGAACGTCCCATAATTTTAATTATTAGACAAATTTAATTTAGCAAATAATTAAAATTTTATTTTATTAAAAACTTTTAAAATATGTTCTATTACAGTAATAAATGTTCTATATTTTTGAAATTTAATTATATCACTTTCACAAGTTTTGTGTAAAATAATCTGTCAAAACTATATGAAGTGAAAATTCGTTTATTACATGTCGAATAAAAAACTATACAAATTTGTGAGAACAAATTGAATATAATAAATTATTATTTTTTGAAAAAAAAAATATTATTTCGTATGTAATTAGATGAACGTATACTGGCTTTATAAATAGGTCATAATGATTTAATTTAGAATCGAAATATCTACATAAATATGTGACCCTTGAAGCACTACCGACTTTTATTCTGTAAAGAATACTTTGTGTACATATTATTATGCACTATAAAGTAATTTTGATGTAGAAAATATATTTACTTATAATTATGCATAAATATACTCTGGCTTTAACTAAATATTTATTTACATTCCGAGCAAAGTACTATATTAGCCAGTAACAATTCGAAACTAAACTAAACTGGATACCTTCCTTTATTTACAATTTGCAAATGAGAGTTTAAAAGTTTATGCGACAAAGCTATAAAATTAAGAAGTTTATTAGTGTTTCATCAAGATGGACCTAAAATAAATGCTAGGACAGAAGATAACAGTACTCACTTTTTAATCAATATGCTGGATTAAAGTTGCTAGGATAAGGGTTGCTTAAAAATTAATTACAAAGGCAGTATTCGAGTAAAGTACTATAATAAATCAAAGAGAATTCTTTTATCGATTTAGACAATATAAAGACATTAATATTGTATTGTTATATATAAAAAAAAAAAAACGTTTAAAATTAAAATTAGTCAATATAATTTCATATCAATAACATTATTATTTATTTTACAATTAATTGTATTTATTTAATTTTACTTGTTCATATTTTGTCACTTCTAAATAATAATAGATTATTTTCAAGTTCAGGTATATTAACACGACATAATTAACTATTAAACTAATTTCTCCATATCGTTTATAATAGAAAAGTTAAATAATTTTTGGCATTTAATATAATAATTAATTATGTTTAGCGAAAAAATAACATTTACATTAATATATCATTAGCTTATAAATTACATTTTTACATTCATTATAGCCATTTTGTAACGAATTACGTAATGTAGTTAATTAATTACATTCAACAGTTAATTGTATATTAACGGATAGTTATTATGTATTAATTAAACTGACAGTTAAAAATTAAGTAATGCTTTATTTACTGTCGATTGAAAACAGTTTTTCATTAAGATTTAAAATAGTTTTCTTTTTTAATCCGCTGATGGAAGAAAAATCATACTCTGTATTATTCGTTCATAATCATGTGAATGAATTTAATATTTAAGAAATAATATTTAATATATTCGAAATTTTATTACGATAATTTAATAAATCCACAGTATGTAGAAAAACATTGAATAAAATTTTATATCAATATTTTTAATATATCGTACTCTTCAAGTACTTGAATAAATGGAAGAAAATTTTCAATTATGCATGAATATTCATAATAATAACAAGAACAATAATAATGATAATTAACACAATTATTATGGATGTAGTTATGTAACTGATACAGGACTTTAATAAATAATATTCAAAGTAAAGAGTAGTTTTTTCTAAAGTTATCATGTGCAAATCAGGCAAAATTCTAGAGATGGTATGTTTAGTTCTTTTTGTTCTTTTTACACAAACTAAGAGTTTCTATGAAAAAAAAAAAAAAAAAAAAATAAATAAAAAAAAAACATTGAAAAATATAAAAAATTATTATATTTATATTAAAACTTGTTAAAAATTAAAGCTATATTCTACATTCGATCTCTACATATAATTTTACATCCAAATACACGTTTTAATGATTTTATTTCATGTTTAGTAACTTAAAAAAGTAACAAAGCTTAAATGATTTTTTCCATTAGATTTGATCGATTGATAATATAAGGAACCGCAACAGATGGCACAACGAGGCATCAATTTTGAATATTACAGTAAAATTACGAGAATCCATAGACAGTAATATTAAATATTTTTTTAAGGATAATTTAGTATACTTCGCGTATGTATTTATGTCCACCTACGGATTTCAAAAACCATGTTTAATTCTCCAAAATAGAATTTTTAATCCTTATAAACTTATCTCTTTGAATATATAAAAAATCTCTTTGAACTCATTTTTTATTGCCAATTTTTCATCAAGCTCAAATATATATATATATATATATATATATATATGATAATTAAAATATAACTATTTAGTAACGAAATGTCATTCAATTCAATTATTTTATATAAAAGCATTTTCAAGTCTCGAAAAGCATATTTTATCAATCGGCAATATTTTTAAATGGTAATAACGCATACTGACCTCGGACATGCACAGGCCCGTTCATGCATGCCAAAGAAACTCTACGAGATCCGTAAAAGATAGGTCGAGCGTGAAATTACAAAAACGGAAGGCAAACATTCAGTATAAGAAGGATTTGTTGACTTACCCGTGCATGTGGGTATCGATCCACTCCAAACCCCATCATCTCCACATCTAAGACTCTGGAGTCCACTGAGCTTATGACCCCACATACAGGTGAAGATCACTCGCCCACCATAAGTGTTGTTATGCTCTAGTACTTGCAGCTTCGGATTCATCGGCTGCACCGGTGCACAAATGATCGCCTTACAATGAGGCACTTCCGCCGACCATTTTCCTAAAGCAAGCCGAGGAGAGAGTGGGATAGTGAGAGAGTCGTTATGAAAGTTGCAATTATTATTTCAACGATTAAGTCATAGTCTAAGTTAAGTTGGACCATCATTTATGTAATTTACGTTATATGTAGTTGACGATTGAATAGAAATCGGTGCTATAATGAGTATATTTTTAATTCTATAAAAGAATGCATGAATTCAATATAATAATATTCCAGTGATTTATGATGAAAATGAAAATTTATTTTTTTTATTTTTTCAAATTCTATACCATAATTTTATGGATTAACATATATTAAATTGTTTTTTAATACAATATTACTTTATGCCATAATACAAATTTATCAATGAATTACGAAAAAATGATTTTGTAAGATGAAAGAATTCTCTGCTATAATACAAATTTATTGCTTTAACATCATTTACTCATAATGAATCATGATAAGTGAAAGAGATAGATAGGTAGATAGGTAGATAGATAGATATATAGATATATAGATAGATAGATAGATAGATAGATAGAGAGAGAGAGAGAGAGAGAGAGAGTGAGACAGGGACAGATTTAAACAAAGAAAGTATTATAATAATCTTATAATCAGCTATTAAATCCAATAGATAAATTACAGCCAATGTATAGTAAATTTTGTACAATTTATATTATTTAAAAATGTTATATTCGAATTTATTCAGCAATTTTTTATAGTACCAATTTTATTTATTCTCTATTTGAGTCTTTGTATAATCTATTAATATAATAGAAAATATGGCATAAGATTTTATTCGGCTATCTAAGGATAAATTCACGAATGTTTTTGCCAATGGTGTAGCTGACTATTAGTTGAAGAGGAAGACAAAGAAAAAGCGATATATATATAGTTATAATAGAGAAAATAATACATAGATTAGATAGATAGATATAGATAAATAATAAAAAATAAGGGTTTATGTTCAAGTGAATTAAGAAGTAATTTCATTATTAGTCACTGTCAAAGATATTAACATACAAGTTACAATGGCGAAAACTGACAGTAAGTTGTGTAATAACCAGATTAAGATCATTCGAAGTAGATAACTATTTTTTTAAGCATTACTTATTCAAATCTTTCTGATCAACAGACATTTAATGTAACTAATAGAATTTAATTAATATAAAGTTCATTTTCATTATTCATTAATAGTTAAAATATGTAAAATGATGTCAATGTCTTATTCTAGGAGTAAATAAAATATAAGTTTGTATAACACGTGTTTGGCATAAAATAATGTAAGTATAATATTAAATATATAAAATACCTTTAGAAATTTGAAAAAATGATTTAAGTGCTATTATATTGTTAACTTTAAACTTAAATAAATAAGAAGATTTATTTGAAATTTACATTGTGATTCTAAAATGGTAATTTAAGCGATATCAAATGTAAACTATAAATATTCATTAGTAATTTCATTTATCAAAATATCGAGGCTTAATCATTAAATATTAAATTGTAATTTCAAAATATATGTTATATTTAAATACAGAATTCTCTAATATTATATAATCTATTAACTTTTTTGACATATACTGTCTGCTTCATATATTCTTGAGACGATAGACTATCGCCAAAAAAATCAAAGTCGTACAGGTGAAAATTCATTTTCTATATTTTATAGGAATTAAATTTCAAAAAAAAAAAAAGAAAAATTATTGAAAATTATAATGTGAAACGCATAATATTTTATACTTTATGAAATCCTTTGAGTTTAATACAGAAGAATAATAAAATATTAAAAAGATATTAAAAAATATGGAGTATAGTTACCCTCACATTGCCATGATTTTGTTTATTTGTTCTCTCTCACTCTTTCTTATTCTTTCTGGTTTTTCTAGTAATATTGAATTCAACATGAAATTAAATAAAAGTTTTTTCGTCACATTCTAAGTTCGAAAGTTGGCAAGCATATGAAGAAACAAGAACAAAAAAAGAGAGAAAGAGAAGGACAACGAGAGAGAGAGAGAGAGAGAGAAGCATTTAGAAATGACCATTTATGTCATTATTGTTTTGTCTCATTTCTTGTAATTAATATATATATATATATATATATATATATATATATATATATTGATTGTACACATTATATACATAACAATCGGATAGAATGTATTATTGTGAGAATTTTATAACAAATTAAGAACTCTTTTGATATTTGTACTGAAAATTTAATTTATCCTCGTAGCGATTTCATTAAAACAATTTAACCATTTCAGTAATTTTCTATCAGGAGCCCTTACTAAAATAAACATAATTCCAAATAGTAAAACTTGCATTTGTCATGTGGCATTTATAATATAGTTTCATGGAGTTCGTTTCATAACTAAACAATTACGGAAAAAAATTAATGAACAGTAAAGTTTTAAAACAGAAATTTTAATATAACGAAAGAATATAATTAAATATCGTTAAATATAATTAGTTTTTCATTTTTCATTTTATTTAATAAAATAATTCCATCCACTTTCATTTAATCTGAAATAGCTCTCGATTTAGTCAATACTTTATTAGTTTTTTATTACTTTTTTATCCACGCCTGATCTTAATAAACAGTAAAGAAGACATGTCGCATCAATGTCAACCTTCAAGACTATCAACTGGATGGTTACTAAAAGTACTACAATATTGTGATCACCAGATACTTTGTGCGTATCTTTGCTTAACTGCGCCACAGTAATAAAACAACGCGTTTCATTTTTTATTTATATCATTTGTGTTTATTTGTTCTAAAAGTGCGAAACTAATTTCTTTGTTTGAATTATAAAATCTCGGTTAAAAATTCTAATATAATATTATTAGTTTCAATACTATATATATGATGTTTTCAATATTTATAAGTAGAATTAATAAACGTGAAGATTTTTCCTTTTTCTTCCAGTAACAAAGATAAATTATCTTATAACACCGGAGGAAACAAGCTGGAGTTACATAAAGTTGTATTATAAATCTAATACTGAGATTCCTATATCCAATTGCTATATTCTTTGCTATTCCGAATACAAACTTGAACGCGTACACGTACAAATATATATATGTATATATATATATATATATGTTCTACTCAATTTATAAAATTTTTAAAAAAATATATAAAAACATAAGCAAATATAAACATACGTAATTTATAGACTTTGAAAGATATAAAGGATTGTAGGATTAATTATTATTATGAATAAAATGAATTTATGACGTAACAAGTCCTAATAAGAAAATGTTAGACAAGAATTACTTTTGTAAGATAATTGTCAATTGATGATAAATGTTATTTAAAATATTTATGTTCCGATTGTCCATTTTTAAAATTATTTATTTAACCTGAAATAAATATATTGTTGTAAATTATTTACTTTGGGTTTTATATTGAATAAAAAATGCAGAACATATAAAAATTCTATTTCAATTTTCTAAAATTTCTCTAAATCAACATTTTTTCTAATTCTAATTAATTTATAAATATATTTATATCATTTAGAAAAATAACTAGTTATTATACCTTTATAAACATGCATTAATTATTTTAATAAGTGTTTCAATTACAAACTACTTAGCTGAAGTACATAGTGAAGAAAAATATATTTTTTATTTTTACTTATATTTCTGAAATATTTATTAAATTTATATATATATATATATATATATATATATGTATTTTGTAGTTAAAATTATGAATCTGTTCATAGAAATATTATTATCTATATATACGAGTGTATAAGAAATCTATTAGAAATCCAAGTGTAATCATGTTTAAGGGATTTATATCTAAACAAATTAAATTCATTGAAATTAAATTCACTGAACATTATGAGTAATTTATAAATAATTTGTTAATAGAAATACACAATTAACTAAATTTTTAGTCTGCAAATGCATTTATTTCAAGTAAAATTTGTTGCGATAAGATCTTTTCGAAACCATATTTGTAGTAAATGAATTCCGTGAGGAACGTTGTACTAATTGAGTTCCAATTAAATACTCGAATTTCCCTGATTTATGTGAAAACTATTGGTTATCAAACCAATGGAACAATTTTCATTAAAAATCAAAATAGCATTTAGTTAAATTTCTTATATAAAATTTCTTAATAGAAATCAAACCACGTATTAATGGGAACTATTATTTAAAGTTAATAAATTATTAGAAGATATTTTCTAATTGTATTCTATTGTTAGCTGGAATATTAAATAAAATGTAATATTAATAATTATTACATCTTGTCAATATCTTTTCTTGCTAGACATATTTAAACAATATAAATGGATTTAATTTGTCAGACTATTACTATTATATTATTAATAGTAATTAACACATAAAAAATTTCATGACGTATAATTAATTCGTGACTATCTTCAAGATTAAATAACGAGTATATTCAATATTAAAACATGCTAGCGAGTAATTCATTATTTATAATTGCAATAAAAATACTATTACATGTAAATTATCTCAATTGAATTTATTATACTTATAAAATAGCCTAATGAAATTATGGAATCGGATATTTTAAAGTAGTCTAGATATATGCCGATATAAATAATATGAAGGGAATTATTTTTACAATAATTTAACGAAATGAGAAAGGTTACAGAGAAGAATAATTTAACATTATCTAATAGGGAAGCTATTCTTGATACGATGAAATTATTAAATGAAAACTTTTAAGGATCTCTTTGCATAAGATCTGCTTCTGTAATTTCCTAGTCTTATGAAGCGGTAATAATGTAATTTGGATCTTATTTATAAAATGAAATAAGTAAAAGACTAGATTATATAATTTATTAGAAAAAACAGAACAAAAACAAAAAACAGAAAGATATTTAAAATACAGAATTAGAATTTTTAATAAAACGGAACGACATAGATATGAAATATGAACTACGTATACATAAAGTGTAGATAATATTTTTAGTAAATTGGTTAAATATATATGTATTCAGCTATGGAAATTCATGTGAATATAAAATATCTCTGCCCTATTAATCTTTATCAATTTATAATCTAAATTTGACATTGGCAAGTGTGAAATCAAGATTAAAATGCAGAATGATCGAAGAAGTAAAAACGAGGGACTTATATAACGCTGTTAAGACATTCATCCGTATTGAGGAGTGAGTGCTGAGTGAAAAATAGATTTGAGAAATATGTAAAATTAAAAATAGAGAGTAAAGGAGGTATTGGGTACTCTCAACTATAACAACTGCGGCATATCGCTTATCATCAAGATGAATTTCTAAGCAAGTAAGTCACTTATATAAAAAACAATTTCTCAAAAATCAACATGAGCTTATACTTCATAGTGTTATCGATCAGTAGATGTTGAATTGAATGAAAATGTTTTCGATGCATAAGGAACAATAATAGCATATGAATCCGAGAACTTTAAAAATCCAATTTATTTTCTAAATTATAACTTGATTTTTATTTAGCATAATTTAACTCAAGAAGAAGTTAATTATTAAATTATTAAAGTATAAAATATTTATGCAATTTAATTGATTCTGAGTTAAATTTAAATTACATTTAAATAAACGTTTCATTTTCTAGAATATTCATTACAAGTAAAAAATTTTTATATCAATAATGAAGCTCACTAAAATTCAAATTTTTAAAATATTTTAACTGAATGCCGTCATTTGTGATTACTCTATTAATAAATATTATTTGGAAAATTGAAGAGAAGATCAAGAAAATTAACAAAAATCCAATTGAATTTTAAGATTTATATCCCTTATTTATACGAACGAGATTTAATTTATTTTTATGAATAGTCTTCATTTGATTTTATTAAATATTTTATTATAATGAATAATTTTACATTTTTTAATGACAACTGGATCTTCACATTTTTTAGGTTGTGCAATTAAATAATTTATAATGTTGGATATATTGTAATTTATAAGATGCGGGAATATTTATATAATGTTAAATCTATAATAATATAATTTTAAAAGAATTCAAATATTATTGTCCTATGCCCTACCTCATGAATGAACTTTATATAATTGTTTGTATAAGTCACATTCAATTAGATCCCATGACAAGGTCGACTACCAATTAATCTTATATACAGCAGTATTTAATTAGTTAAATTAGTTATAATAATATAAAAAATCAGTTATACGTAAAAATTTAGTTTTTAATTAAGATTTATATTATACATGATATTAATAAATGATGTTTTTAATATCGAATGCTACTTTAATCAAATAAATATAAATTTTAAATTAAATTATTATTGATTAATATTAAATTTTTAATATAAAAACTTTAAAAGAGTGGAATAATGAAACAACAAATGAAAACTTTATTTGACGATGATTTTGAAATGATAATTTTTACCCATAAGATTTAAAACGAATATTAAAATTTTCTGTTTTAAAAATGATTCTTTTTATAAATTTGTATATATATATACATATATTGGTGATAAACTTAGTTTGTCATTAAAGTATTTGAAAGACTTTTTGTTTACCCTATCGGAAATGAGAGGGCAAATCAGTGTTGAATGTTGCTTTCAAATGCGTTTGAGACTTTAACACTTTATAAGCCAAGAGTCCCCTCTAACAATTTATGGACAGCTCGAGAAATAGAGGTCACTGGTTAAACATTACTCACCATTGTACTGACAGGTCATGCTCGATGCTCCTTCTAACTTGTAACCGTGTGGACACTCGAACGTCGCGCTTTCACCCAGTCGCGGACCCTCGATTTTCGCGATCAATGGCGGTTCGGGTGAAGTCGGCATCGGGCAGTGGACGTCTGTAACATACATTGGATTTTAACCTTCTTTCTTTCATTCATTGACCTACATGTAGGTACATGCGTAAATATATATATATATATATATATATATATATATATATGTCTATGGCGAGAGTGTGTATAGACGAAAATAATTGTCCTTTTGCGGCTTTCGGATGGGATTTTCACAGGCTGAGGTGAACTAAATCCATTACAATTTACTTCGCTTTTCAGCCATGTAAATTAGAAACTAGGAAAGTAGTTATTATTATTTCATAGTTCTTACTATCAATCAATAGTTCTATGCTTTATTACGAATGTATTTGAAGGTAATTTTTAAAGGAAGTTTGACGTAATTATTTTCTATTTCTGATTGCTGATTGAAAAATCGTTGTTTCATAGGGAGACCGAAACATTATTTTAAATGAATGATAATCAATAACTAAATATATTATTGTTCGTCTGTACATAATTTTTTTAATCTATTATTATATTACAAAATTCCGGACGCAAAAATTCGATATATACATCAAAGTGGTTAACCCTGCAATCTTATCATAATTCAATTTTATCGCGTAAACGAATAAAAATGAATAATTCTCACTACTTATTGCTTCTTTGCATTTGATTAAATTTCTTTTTTTAAAAAAAGTGATGGAATAGTTTTCATTATAATAGATATTAAATACTTATTTAAATATCGCAATATTAATGCAATTGAGGTAAAGGATTGCCAGCCAGAGTATAGGATCATAATAAAAGAACAATAAATATAAATATAATAATTATTATAAATATAAATATAGATATAATAACGACGGGTTATTTACAAGTTTTAAATTTATATTTAACAATGACCTAAATATAATTATATCAATACGGTTATTTATTTCCATTATATCGACACATTTTCAAGTATATGGTGACAGACTTTAGCATGGAAAAACCATTGAACGAACTATTTTAGTTGTTCAATCCAACGTCCTTATATATGTAACACCATAATATTATACATTTTATATTTTAAATATAATGTAAATGCATAATATTATTCGAATCTTGCATTTAGTACTGCAATATCAGTCTGTGAAGCAATTCTTCGTATTAAGAAACGTACAAAGAACTTGACAAGTTGACTAAGCCGATCTCTTCAATTGATAAAATTTAACTTTCGCCGTTGCAAAGTCTAAGACACGCGATATCCAATACGATGAAATAAGCTTCGGATTAAATATGACGATCTAGTTAAGTATAGAAATATATTATATTCAGATAAAAAGTACATTATGATGAGTTATAGAGAAAGTTGTATTCAGTCTAGGAAAGCTTATAATTTTGTTTATAAGTGCAACATCAAAACAATTAGCGTAAGCACACTCTTATTATTAAAGCACTTGACTAATTATCCAGGCGAAAGTTTTGCCACTCGATAAGGGAACACATCTCTTATTCTAATTCAAAGATTATGAAATTTTCTATATTTGAATATTCTCTTTCTTTCTGCAAGTTATTCGCGACAGCTCGGATCTTATTCCAATGGTATAAAATGTATAATTTAAAATCTCGGTAAGTACAGGATTCAGGCACTGTAATTCCTTTTCTTATATAAGTTCACATTTTCGTGAACTATAAAATCATAATAAGAAAAATAGATAAAGGACGTTTATTCGTAAAAATATAATGTATTATATTGATTAAAGTAGAGTATAATGGTGTCTTGTAGGATGTTATAACATTAATCAACATATGGAATAATATAGATTATTTTTTAATTATTGAATTTACTCGTTCAAATTTACTTGACAATTAAACTTTATTAATGATTCTTTAAATAAGGACTTAATAATAATGTAGCTTTCAATATGTTTTTATATTTCCTCAAATAGTTAGCCCAAGTTTAAACGTAGAATTTTAACCGAGAATGGTAAATTTAGAATTTTTGTACTTATTATTATTTAAATAATATTGTCCAAAAATTACTTATAACTTGCTATTTATACACTACCGTAACTAACATTATCTATTCCCTTTTATTTTATTTTCACTTCAATGAATAATTGTTCTATATATTACTAATAGTTTTTTGCTCTCTTACATTTGTGTTTCTCTATTTTATTTCGGATATCATTATGTGTAAAAATAGCTCAGTTAGATGTTGATAAGATACCTAATGCATCTAAAAAGTAATATACTAATATATAAATAATATAAAAGTATAATAATATATATTATGAGTATATATAGAATAGGTATAGATAACTGTGAGGTTGAGAATCTCGATTTATTACTTGTCGATCATTATTTGTAAAACGATGATAAATAACTATGTTTAATTATACTTTTACTCATATTTCGTATCAAATTTCGAGAGAAAATTATGCTTTCATAATATATTATAGTAGAGTCTAATCAGGGCTTCAATTGATGTTCAAGCAATGCAATAATTTACAAGTTGAATTTGAATGAAAGTAGTCCCGATATGTCATAACCATTCGGTTTTTGTTCGCCGATTTTGCATGTTCGATACCTCCCTTACTGGTTCTCTAATCGTGTATGCGTGTATCTCATTAGGTACGGACGGTTTATCACTCAATATTAAATTGAAATTTACGAAATTCTCTTATAATGTCTTTAATTAAAAAAATAAAAAATAAAATATAAAAAAATAATAAAAAGCAATTTTTATCACTCAATATTAAATTGAAATTTACGAAATTCTCTTATAATGTCTTTAATTAAAAAAATAAAAAATAAAATATAAAAAAATAATAAAAAGCAATTTTTTAAAGGTTTTTTTTTTTTTTTTTTTTTTTTTTTTGGTATAAAATTAACTTTTAGGCTCATCTTTTCAATACAATCTTTGTATCATTAATTATATAAAATTTTATTTTACATTATGATTTTTAATGTAAGTTAAGTTTGATAAATTTAGAAATCGAGTTCCTCGAATTGTATTTGGCTGTTGATATAATTTATGTGAGGATTATCTAAATTATGAAAATGCAACTACTAATTGAAAAACTAACATTTTAGTCATTGCTACGTAATTTCATTTTGTTTTGGTTGATTGTCTCTATTGATAGTAATCGAACCCTTTCTTTTTCTTTTTTTTTTTTTTGTCAAAGGAACGCAAAGGTATTAATTTGATTGAATATAATCCTGCAAATATATTAATTTGAAATAATTATGAGAAAATAGTCGAAACTCTCTAAAAAATAAAAAATGTTTATACTACCCTCTATATCTAGCGAAAAATTGTTTAAATAAATCATTTTTTATTATGTAGGATGACGGAAAACCTGGTGTAAATGATGCCGAGAGTATTCCATAAGTGGAACGCCTGCGCCATGTACGTCCATTGGAAAAAGGGGAAAGCCATATCACTTGATATTGTGTACAGTCGGACGTGAGCGACACGTGCTTAGAGTAGAACATCTTCTCACGTGTATATATATATATATATATATATATATACATAGAGATACATTGATAGGCAGGTAGTTTTAAAGAAAAGTACCGAGTTGCATTTCAGGGTGAATTCAATTGAATGGAACCGCAGCACTAGATTTACAAGGTTGTTGGATGCATAAACGCAGTTGGCGATGGATGTGCTCGGATAAATCCGTTGAATGATTTTACTCGTTCGAATGTATCGTTCGGTTGCTATTGAACAGCTTACCAAGCAGCTGCAATCGTACTTCAAAATCTGTTTATTATTTAAAAAGGTTGGTTTTTACATACTACTGCCATAATCCAATGCATCCGATTTTTCATTTTTATTATAAAATTATACTGCGAGCAATAGGAATTATATTCCCAAAACTGTTTTCAAAATTGAGGGCTTAAAATGCTTTTTTATGGAAGTAAGCCAACAGCGGTTATCGATGTCTTTTAAAATTAGCAAATATTTAGAGAATAATTTTTCCAAATTAAATAAACTGTAAAACGTTAAATCGACAGTTTTATATTCGTTTTAAAGATATTTTTATGAATACAATTTATGAATACAAATAATTATTCGATCCGATAATATTAGAATATTAGTTGTTAAGCATATTTTATTTCATTCAAATATTCCACATAATGCTATTGCAATAGAGAGTGCAATTATTTTTTTCTTCTTTTTTTTGCTATACTTTTTCACTAAGATCGTTTATGGAAAAATAAATAATTCACACAAAATATTGAATTTATTATTAATTTCAAATAAAATAATAATAATGACAAATATACGATATCTTGTATAATATAAATGGTTGATATTATCATTAGATTTTCGCAACATTTGTTTTCTTTGCTTATAAATTTTTGAAATAATATTAAATAAATATCTATTGCTTTTTGTAAATAGTTATTTATTTTATTTTTATAAGCATGGGGAATAGTTGTATTATAATTATCTTTCCTTTCTTCTTTTTATTGTTCTTATTTCACTTTTTATATTATATAAATTCTTTGATTTAATTTATAATTGATTTTAATTTTGATTCGTTTGTTCAATGAGAAGTTGAATCGTCAAAATAAACTCAATCCACTAGTATTACAAAGTATTGATATTTATTAACATTATCGAATTCGTTTATTCGTTTATTGTAGATAACATCAAACGAAATAAAATAAAAATAAAAAAATCATATTACAAAAAACAATCTCCAGATGAAAAATGCTTAAGATTTATAAAAGTAATATGTTTCGTAATATATCGTGAAGTCTAAACGGCGTAGCCACGTTGGCGTGATTTTTCTCGATTATTCCTGGATGAGTCTCGCTGAACGTCAGAACTTGGTTTCTACAAAATAATCCTTCACTGGCAATTATAAATCAGAAAGTCGGCCAACTCGTTAATTACTAAAATATAAATGTGCTTTTAATTGTAAAAGAAAAATGTATTCGAAATAAGCAAAAGAATCGAGTAATGTAAGTAATCATCGGAGATGTAAACAGGCCCATGTTCAATGAACAATATTCTCTCCAAAAGAGTATGAATATAAATTTCGAGCTACGTGAGATGTAATTAAAAAGTCTGCTTAGGCTTGGCGATTTTAATATTAATAGACTGATATCAGCGCACATGGTACATGGTCGTTGGTTGCCGTTCAGCACCGCCGACCAACGGCAGTGGTCGCAGAATTGACACTAGGAGTTGCTGGTCGAGCGACAAGTTCTTCATTAGAAAACACAAGCCCCGGAGCACTGAGCTTAAGGTATGAGCGTGGCAATTATTAACGATGAGGAAGAGATCGACATTTTGGTCACGAATGCGTCAGAATAGTTTGTATCAATGCTTGCGAGGTCTTCGCTATTTGATTTAATATGGCATTCGATAGTTATAGAAATTAAGAATCAATGGTCAAGTGATAAGGGTCAATTAAGAAAAGTTCCTATTTGCGATAGCAATATCATTTTGATACGAATGCTAGGAATTTTTGTAATGTTAATGCGCACATATAGAGAATAAATAGCTTTTCAACATTTATATTCCTATTGATTTTATACATTTAAGCATATCCGAACCATAAAAACGAATTAAATTAATTTTAATTTTTCCAACGAATATGAGAAGAAATTTATTTTCTTTTGTTATTTTTTATTTTTTTTTTTTTCATTTAATATTGCTCTAAATAAAGGGATATATTCGAACAGTTATTTCATGTTTCATCAGAAAAATTTATGAGCTTAAGGAGTTTATGAACACCTTCGCGCTTTTATGACTTTAGCATACGAGTATTGAAAACGAGGAAAGTACTTTATAATAAATAACGATAATTATTAATTTATCAAATTATAATTATACAGTGTTACATAATTGTTAAAATTACTTGGTCGATTCTCTGTAAAATTTTAATAATGCAAGACTATAAGATAATAACGGTAGTCTTCTTCCAAACCAGTAAAATACTCATAAAATACTAATAATTTTAAAGCTTTTCGAGATGTGAAGTTTCACCCATATAAATAAATCCACATTACCAGGATAAACATTGTCATAAATTGTTTTTAAAATGTGCACGTGAATCAATAGATAAGCACGCGTGGTCGCAACCGTAGTCTTCATTTCCCCGAAGATGCTACCCGCAGAGCGACTTTACCCAATATCAACGCTCCATCCTATTTCCCTTACTCTGGAGCTCCAGAAAAGCGAGTCAAAAAAGCTATCAGCTCTGCTTGCTTCTCATTTTGATTGAAAGTTAGAGTGCATTTTATCTTTCATTTTAGTCATTACTGTTTCTAATATATTTATTTCTACGCGCCGACATTCATTGGATATAGTAGCTTATAGCACTAACTGCCGAGTACCTGATATATTTGCTGAATGCGAGCGGATGCTCAAGTAGTAAAGTTCTACGCATAATGAACATATAGTGATAAATATAAACTAATAAAAAATGTGATATAAATCTATCTTTTCTCGCAAGTAAAATGAAAATCCTCAATACTTGCGATCATACACTTACCAATAACGTGAACTCGAATAGAGTTCGTGAGGCCTCGAGGGGTTGAACATGTATAAACTCCAGAGTCTTGGGTTTTCGCATAGTATATCGATAGCCGATACTTCCAATCCCTTTCGAAGGCAGCTATCGCCCAACCTGCAAAATAGATAAAATTCCAGGCATATGAGATTGATTGTCTTATTAGCCTAATCGTGCATAAATTACTTATGTACTGATAACTTATACGACAAAAGTCTAATATAATCATAAAAGAAATAAAGTGCTTCATAATGAAAATTCTTTACTACGAGAATTATTAACTACGAGAATCTTTATTATTATGTGAATAAAAATAATATTACATTTTCTATAATTTTGCAAGTAAAATTTTTTAATCTAGTCCTTTACTCCGATAAAATATTGAAATTCATGCTTTTCTCTTTTTATATTTTATTGTAACTCTTAATGCACAATTTTTTTTTTTTTTCAAATTTACATTATATTCTTCAACGAGTACCTAAGAAAGTCACAATTTATAGGAAATTGTTTATAACATTAAAAATGTTAATTGTAATTTTTACTTTTATTATAATTTTATATTGAAAATTGTATAATATATGTAGGTGCGTTTATAACACTACGTAAATAATTTCCATATAAAACTTAATATTTTATTGAACAATTAAAGACATTTACGGACATAATATAATCCGTTATTTCAATTTTTGTAATTTTTTGCACCAAAAAATACATATAAATTTACTATTCATAATGTAGGCATTATTACGATGGTAAATCACATAAAAAAATTCGAAATATAATATGATATATTGTAATATAGTTATCATTGTAATAATTTGTAAAATATTTGAAATCTAATGAAATATTGATATTAAATTTAAGCAAATTGAGTTCATAAGAAATTTTCTATCTAATCTTTTTATTCATATCACTAATTACACATACAAGTAATGCATAGTCATTAGACAAGATATATTTGTATCTAAACTTTCAGACATTAATGGTTTAACTTTGATTTGAAATAGTTTTAAGTAATACTAATACTTTACTTTAGTTTATAAATTAGCAACAATTTCGTAATTTAATGCTGTGCATATAATGCAGTAATTAACTGTATATAAAAAATAAATGAAGAAATTATGTTTTAAGTTTTAATAAAAACAGTGTTCCATATAGATTCCATTAATACTGTCCGGGAATTGAAATAATTGTGTATTTTTCCAATAATAAACTTATGAAAAAGAACATGTTACATATACGATTATTAATATACACAAAAATTTTGAAATTTAAAACTTACTTATCGATTACGAATTTATAATTAATGAATACATAGGCATTAACTTTAATTTAAGTTAAATCGTTGAATACGATTCGAGATATAATCCAAGAGAATAACTATTAGAGCTTAGAATTCTCAAATCTCCCATTAAAATTGACTAGACAGTACATTTATGTCTACTTATAGAAATTATCTTCTAATGCACGCTTAACATTTGGAGAATATGAACAGTAATTCATTGGATTTTTCATCGGACAATGCATTTATTTGAATGTAATATTTAACGAGAATCGCTATATCTTCGAGATATAGAGATATTGAGAATTTTAATTTAAATTTATATAATTAAATAAACGATATAGAAATGATAACACTATTAATAATATCTAGATGCTTTTAAATTCTTTATTATTTCATGTGAAATGTGTTATTATACAAATACCGAGAAATATCGTATAATTGTAAGTCAGATGTAAATAATGCACGGCATTGAGATGCAAACTGGCTAAACAAATTAAATTCAAAAATGTATTATTTGTAGCTTGAGCGTGTATGACCTATCAATAATTCAAAAATGTCAGGTATGAAACGAATATAACGACGAGAGCTTGAAATCATCCGATTTAGTGGGCACGCACGGCTTATTCTATCAATATGAGCGCACCCGGTTTTTGCACCCTCGCGCGATGTACAACTATAATTCACTTGGTTAAATGCCAGACGAGAAAATATTATGAATAAAACAACGTTGTGTTGTTAATGCCACCCGACGGCTAACCCAATGTCGGATTTCGCGGTAATTTTACAAATAAAAAGCCTATAAGGATTGAAAAATAATCCAGAAATTCGATGAAGTAGATTAATTTTTTCATACTTTCAAATATTAAAATCACAAATTGATATAAATGAAGGGCTGAACAGGTATTCCAATTTTCTTATATTTATAATAGGAAGTAAATATGGTTGTTATACATTCGTGCTGCATAATGTAATGAATTTTTATGATAGATGCTTCGGGAATATTACATTTATGTCAATCAATCAATTAGGTATTTACATCATATAAATGGATTTCTTTGCCGAGAGTAATATATATGTTCGCTACTTTAGTTTACACATTTTTTTATTTCACTTCACAGTACATAACTACATAATAATAATAAGTCGCTAAGATTAAATATTACCAATCGCTATAATTTATATCATATTTCAAAAGAAAAAAATTATTTCTATATTATTTTATTCCCAAGAAAGTACTAACATTTACAATTTAAACAATTTAATTAACATTTACAAGAGCTATGTAGAAATATAATTTCTCTCATCTTGCTTTCATTATCTAAATATAGGACTTTCACTCGTGATCTTGAATTTCGTTATTGGGAAAAACATTTCTGCTGTAATATCAAATGGTATTTGTTATGAACATTTTTTGACGAGATAGAAAAACGTTCTTGATCTACGAATTAATTTGCGTCGTATTCCTATGTATCATCGATGCTCTTTAAACGCATGAATAAATCAAGATAATTTAAAACTTAAATTTTTTCATTTAACTATGTTTAAACATTAGTCTACTATTTATTTCATTGGTACTTAAGTATTTAAAGTATACAAGATACTTTACATAAAAAAAAGATAAAAAGTTAAATACATCTGCAGTATGTTTCTTAAAAGATTTTCATTTTCCTTGTGCCTTTGTCAAAGTGTTGTTGTTACGAATAATGAATTAATTTTAGTGGCAGACATATCAACATTAACGGAATAACGATTATAAATATAATTATCTTATGTTTAATATAAGTGTATTTAAAGTCAATTCATTTTAATAAAGAAAAAAAATCATCTAATTTTAGCCAAAAAAAAAAAAAAAAAAAAAAAAAAAAAAAAAAAAAAAAAAAAAAAAAAAAAAAAAAAAAAAAAATTTT